TCAACAGTACTCCCCTTACATCATGGCGTGTCAGTTTAATGGTGGAGGGGGGACCTGAAGTGATGTTGTTTAAGCTACACTTGGCAATAATCCAGCTATATGGCAGCAGTCTGAAATAATCGAGTGTGGACCTGACAATCCAGTGACTATCATCATGATCATCGATCTACGCAATTGGGATGTGATGATGTGTGTCAACCAAGTCAGCGTGCCTCATTTTGGTCCAGGCACTCGGTGCTGAAAAAATAGAAACTTTAATGGGCAACCTGTGCAAGGTTTATTGCAGATTGCTATTCCATTGATTAATGGGACACCAAATAGCACTTTCATATATATAGCAGTTTGAAGCATATAGCATATGAAGTTCATCAGTGTATAGTAGTACATATGTAAAGAAATCCACAAAATATTAACAACACACAAATTTTCGTCCCACGTGTTTCAAGTGTAATTGTAACTGTGATCACTTCCTGAAGATGAAGTTGAAACACGTAGGAGGGAAATTGTTGTGTCATTATTTTGTGGATTTCTTTATATATGTTATATATATATTTATAAATTGAGCATTGCTTCTGCAGACTAAATTGCTGCTATTCACTGTGGAACGGTATAATCTCTTCTCTTGGAAGTTATTGAGACAATTGTTCCAAATGCATAATACCCTGTCACAGACATCAGATCCTGTCTATAAGATGCCTAGACTGTACCATCATCTGTGAGCTGGGTTGGTGGGGTAGCTTAGTGGTTAATGCAGTCGCTCACCATGCTGAAGACCAGGGTTCGATTCCCCACATGTGTACAATGTGTGAAGCCCATTTCTGGTCTCACCCGCCATGATATTGCTGGGATATTGCTAAAAGTGATATACATCTAAACTCCCTCTCATTCATCTGTGAGCAGTAATGCCATGATCTGTGGCTTGGTAACCCCATTCCTGATCCTCCATCTATTAGCACCATGTTAAACAGTTTTACAAAGTAAAAGATGTCCATGACCTGCATCCATTTGACCTTCGGCCACTTGACCTTTACCCTCTTGACCTTCATCCACTTGACCTTCACCCTCTTGACCTTCATCCACTTGACCTTCATCCATATCACCTTTATCCATCGTTGATACTGCTCAAAGCCATCTTAATCCAAATTCATTAATCTCATGTAAAATTTGGCTAAACAGCAGAAAACTAAGTGACAGCTCTATTAGTTTTGGGATCTTAGTTAAGATCTCAATCAGAAAAAGCGTAAGGTTCATTAAACTTAGAGTCTGGGTCTGAGATATAACATTTTCAGTGGTAACTTGGGATGTAGTGTGTCCCAACATCCCTACCCTGATGCATCACATGCTGCAAGATGCAAGATGCAGTAACCACAAGCTCAGTCAGTTTGAAACAGCTTGCCACCATTCCACACAACTGAGTGTTGGTGGTAATCTGATTGTGGACCAGCATGACTAACTGGAAGTGACCACCTCTCACAGTTAGGCAGGCTCACTCAGCTGGGTTGACCAAGGGTCACTGACTAGTGAGAAACAATTGTGTAGTGGGAAGAAAAATTGTCAAAACTGCATTGGAACACAATATGTCATGAGCCAACAGGTTTTATGTATGTCAGGGTTAATGACTTTGTGAGAGCATGTCCAACAATGACTCCTCAAATTGTTTTTTTTTCTGTTTGAAAAAAAATGCGGGACTTTGGAGACAAGTTTATTTCTTTTAGATAATTATTTACTGACCTTTGAGGACTGATATGTTGTTAACTGTCAATTATGTTTCAAATGCTCATTGTTTTGTAATAAGGCAAGGGAGTTCTTGTCCAGAGCAGCTGAAATGTCAAGAAATGTGAAACATACCTGTGTATCACAGTATATCCAATGTCAGAGTACAGTGGCACACAGGAACTTGGTTTGACAGAGTTATATCCCTTAGCTGCTAGGATCTGGTTGGTTGCAGTTTGAATCCCTTGAGCCAGAAAGCAATGGTGATCGATTGGATTAAGGTGCACATGCATCTTCATGTCAAGAGTTGCATCTCTTAGACGTGCCAGCAGTTGTTGTTCATGGTTTGAATCTCAAATTAGTCACTACCATACCTAAGCATGTAGGATAGGCTGAAGTAGTACATTTTTCTCAACCACAATGGACTTCCTCCCAAAGTTACCCATACTGAGTTTCAATTTTCTGAAATGATCCAGACTGGATCCAACTCTTCTCTCTTCAAACTGATTACAGTGACCCTTACTTTCCATACAACATCATTATTAGGAATTTAGTGACAGAGATGCTCATGAAGAATGTTTGAGCCGGTCCAGTGGTGTCCACAGGGGCGTGTCACACTAAGAAACAGCGTTAGAAAGACATATAGGTACATAGACCGTACCCTAGTACTATATAAAAGGGAAGGGATGTAACGACGGAACCACCCCCTCCTCAATCAAAGTTAGATTTCACCACGTAAACTATTTTTAAGGCCCCATTGAGGCCTACAGATTGAAAGCGAGATGATTTCCCTACAAAATGAGCTATAAATGGTCACAATCGGATCATTATTTCAAAAGTTATACGCCACGGCTCACCAAAAACAGCTACCTCCGCAATTCCAAGCCAAAATCAAGGATCACCCAAGACAGTGAAAACTCACCTTTTAAATTCGTTTATTAATTCCAGCCATGTTGACAACACCTATGTAGGGCTAGATTTCTATCGGCAGCAGCATTCCATTGGTCTAAAAACTTATTGCAACATCTACAAATCATTTCCTCGACAGTAAGCAGGCACTTTCTCCAAAACCATCGGCAATCATACTCACTTGTCGGCCATAGATGGCCTTGACATTTAAGTGATCTGAGCAGATCCGCAGAAACTGAATTAGGCCATCCGATTTTGACTGTTAGCTAATGGGCGCGAAATATGAACTTTGCAATATGCCTTCTATTTTGGATCATGTACGGAACAGTAAATTGTTAAGAATAATTTTAGAGGTTGTAAAAATGTATTCGATATTGGTTCATTTTTAGGAAATTTTATTTATAAATATTTAACCTCTAAAATTATTTTTACCTGAGTGCGGCGTTAAACAACAAACCAAACAACCATGCACTTCATCTGTTCACCAGCTCTTCCCATCCTCTCCGAATCCCAGTACACTGTCCTGCTGTTGACTCTCAAGATATACAGTCTACACATTGATTTAGGCAGCACACGTCCCATGTTTGAGGATCACACATCCCATGTTTGAGTGTATAACCAATCAATGTTACTTTAATGTAGTCAAGTAGTAAAGGTACTCCTGGAGTGTTTGAGTAACCCACCATCTGTTCATCACAAGTACTGGAACAAACACTTGGCATCATCAGCTTGTATTCCTGGGATATAGGCGTGCCAAGGTAGTTCTTGTTTCAAATATTTGGTGGGCGAGTCTGTTGTTTTCAGTGGCAGAAGGGTAGCCTAGTGGTTAAAGTGTTCACTCATCATGCCGAAGACCCGGGTTCGATTCCCCACATGGTTACAATGAATGAAGCCCATTTCTGGTGTTCCCCCTGCCGTGATATTGCTGGAATATTGCTAAAAGCGGCATAAATCCATACTCACTGGCTGTTGTTTTGGTGTTTACTCCTCATGCTGAAGAAAAAGGTTTATTCACTGCATTGTTACATATTAGGAACTGTTTTCTAAGTGTCCCATCTAACACTCCTCTAAGATGGAACAAATTACGTCATGGTGTTTTGTATACTAGTAGATCATGAGTGGACAGGGCCAATGGCAAATCCAGAAGAGACCAGTGATTTATTGTATCTGTCTTTTTTTTACCCCTGGACCACTGTACCATGGACCAAAAACACCATAATAAGTACATACCTTTTTAATGCAGACTAATATATATTAGTATTCTCTGCCATCTAAATCATGATACTCTTATTGAAATAAACTCTACCATCCTCCACCCATACATCCCCAACACATTTCATAATGTGCGTATATATTAATTAATTTTTTTTTAAATCAATAACATAAAGAATTTAAAGTGTCCCAGTCACATAGAAGTCACAAAATGATATCAAATGAAAACTAATATACCAATATCAATAAATGACAAGGTTTAATTTGAATGTTATTCTGTGTATATCCATTGTCTTCTTCATCCTCCAATATCCTGTCAGCTAATGTCCAAATATTTATTAATTCATAAATTGGAAACGCTGTCCACATGTTGACACACCTATGATAATTTTGAACTGTTGGACATATGGCAACAGCTGTTCATGTTCCAGCCACTTGACAAGTACTGGAAACTCCTGGCCACACCAGACCAAATGTGTCAACTGTGACCTTGAACTTGCTTGCTTCTTGGAGTAAGCTGGAGTCTCCCTGTTGTGGAATTATTCGTGACCAACCTCCGATATTCTCAAAGGTTTGAAGACCGATTTAAACTTGCAGCGTTAATCTAATGAACTGATTTGAGCAGACGTCCAGTTTGGTGTTTCATTGAACATGATCTGTCCCTTTTAGTTTATTTTCTGAAACAAACTTTATGTTTTTGTGGTGTGAAAACTCTGGCTTTGACTATGTCAAATGTTTATGATGATGTATAGCAGTCACCTTTATCAGGGCTTGAAGATTCAGGTCTTCAGGAAACCCATGCATGTCATAAGAGGCAGGTGGTCAGGCTCGCTGACTTGGTTGATGAATGTCATCGCATCCCAGTTGTGTAGGTCAGTGCTCATGCTGTTGATCACTGGATTGTCCAGTCCAGACTTGATAATGTTCAGACCACTGCCATATAGCTGGAATACTCCTGAGAGCAGCGTTAAAGAACAAGCAAACAAAAGTTGACTCATCAATGTTTCCTCTTCGCATCCCTTGAAATGCATCTGTGAGCAAGTATCAAGAAAAAAAATCAACCATTTCAGACAAAGCTTCCTGAAGAACCTGATCGACATCATCATGTTTTGCATTTCACATTCCCATAAGTGGCAGCCATTTACATTTGTGTCTTTTTTTCCCAGCTATGCATGATACCGGCCAAGTCGTGCTTGTCATCGTGGGCTCGTTTGGTGCCGTCATAGGCCTGGTCCTCGGAACAGTCCTGTGCAGCTGGTGTTTTGGGAAGAAGAAGAAGGTTGATGAAGAGGAGGAAGTGTTTGCGAAGAAGTATAAGGACGAAGAAGCTGGAAATGTCCCACCTTCGGGCATCCCAAAAGGAGGTACCCCTGGATCACCTGCTCTCACTCGCAAAACTATCAAGTAAGTTTCTTTTTATCTATTGTTGCAAGGTCACTACTTGGTCGCTGAAGATGAACACTTTCAGCTACAGATTCAACTGACCAAAACAAAACAGACTTTGGCTTAAGCAATGAGATGATCTATGGGACATACAAACTGTTGAAAAATTCCAAGTCACTCACTTCCTAATTAAAACACATGATGACAGCTATAAGATGTTGAAGGATTTATTGTTACCTGCACTGAGTGCAACCTGTGACTCAAGGTAACCTGCACCAGCCATTTTTAACATGCACCAGTGCAGGTTCAGTAAACAGCAAAATCGTACCATGATGGCAGACAGTTATGGCAGTATTTGTTATCCTAACTTGTGTTTGTCGAGTTCTATTGTTCAAACAATCGTTGTGATACTCTGAGCAATATTGTAACATGTTATTGTGTCAAAAGTCACTCTGTTGTCATATTCTCGGGTATTTGATTGTCAACTGATCTTCTCATTATTCACATGTAACACTTCAACCCTCTGCAACACCAACCCATGAAGATCCAGATTAGAATTGATCTTCAGTAACCCATGCTTGTTGTAAGAAGCAACTAACGGGATCGGGTGGTCAGGCTCGCTGACTTGGTTGACACATGTCATCATTTCTCAATTGCGGAGATCGATGCTCATGCGGTCGAGCACTGGATTGTCTGGTCCAGACTCGATTATTTACAGACAGCCGCCATATAGCTGGAATTTTGCTGAATGCAGCGTAAAACTAAACACACACACGCACACTCTGTTTTTAAAATGCTACAGCAGTTATACATATTCACCAAGATTATTAATTAAAAGACATTTTTTCAAGTTATGTATATTTTAAATGTTGATTTTACAGCTGTTTTATCTCTTTTCTCTATTTTCTCTCTTGATGTTGTGTTTCAATCCCTTCCATTGTCAACATCCGGGTAAGGTGCTTCATTCATAATATCTCTGATGTTACATTGTGTGAAATTTATTTATTTATTTTCAGGATTAATAACTTCTTTCCAATTTTACTAATGATACTTGCGTTTATTTTGTTTGCAGATTATATATGATGAGTGCAATTATTAATTTAGATATCAAACAGCAGTAGACAAATTCAATAATAAATAAATGAATTAAATTATTTTCCCAATTTAATTTACCCACTTCAGGGAAAATCTGTCAAAATGAATCTCTCTTTTATGACATAGTTGTAAAAAGTCTTTCTGTGACGTAAAATCCTCATATACAGCTTGTGTGTATTTGATGGTGTATACAATGCGTTAGAATACAGAGTAGTTCTTGATTATTCAGGTCAGGGCCTTGAAATAAATTATCCACCAATGAAAGAAATTGCAACTGAGCATAAATAAACTAACAAATCTAAAGATGTAATCATGAATCACTGTAAAGTTACATTGATGACACCAAGTGTTTCACATCATCTGTCATCTTTGTGACTAGTCAAGTTCCATAGAACTATTCTGACAATGGGCTTAAATATATACTCTCAGTGCAACAGAATACCCAGTGTTGACTATTCTCAGAAACAAATTCGAATGGATCACTGAAAGTCAGCAATAACACCAGATGTTCGCGAAAGGTAATTTCCAAGACAGGATGTCTAGACCATGCTGAGGTACTGTGTTAGAATCATCATGCTTGCTGTGGGATGAAGATTCTTGGTTAAGGTCAGAAGAGGCTAATTTAGGTTCAATGACTTGAGGGTCACGATATGGCTGAGATATTGCTGATGTGACGTTAAATAGTAACTCACTCACTCACTCACTCAATGGCTTGGTTGTGTGTCTTCACACCCGACCCGTGAAGATCCAGGATAGAATTGATCTTCAGTAACACATGCTTGTCGTAAGAGGCGACTAACAGGATCGGGTGGTCAGGCTCGCTGACTTGGTTGACACATGTCATCATATCGCAGTTGCATAGATCGATGCTCATGTTGTTCATCACTGGATTGTCTGGTCCAGACTCGATTATTTACAGACCACCGCCATATAGCTGGAATAGCTTAAAACTAAACTCACTCACTCACACTCACTCATCACATCCTGACAGCATAGATCTTTGCTCATGATATCAACCACTGGAAACTGAAACTGAGTCTTGTCTGAAAGTGACAGACAGTATATCATCTCCTCTGTTTGATTCCTCCGACAAAATGGGAGTTTAAGGTTTCATTTATCCTTCATCCAGGAGGACACATTCTCTTCCCACAGAGGTTACTTGTCACATCTTCCTACGAACGTGTGTTCTAATACGGCCATATTTCCCAGTTCTTGTATAATCCCCTAGCAGCAAAAAATCGCAACATGAATTATCTCCCTTCTTTCTATCCAATCAGAACACGTGTTACATCAACTTAGATCCAACTTGACTAACACAAGCAAATGTGGGGCAACAAACATCCTTACTTTGCTGGGGACATGTGTTGATGTGACACATAAGACATTTAATGGCTAGCTTGTCCGTTGTCTACGAGGGCGATGGAGACGACATTGATCCGTCTAGTTCTGTCTAGAAGAAAAGCGCAGGGGAAGAGGTTCTAGTTTTCCCGAAGCATACAGAAATTACCGAGGCCTTGCGAATGATCACTTTTGAAACAACGTCGCTGATTGCACATCTAAATGTGATTGCAACCAATCACGTATCCTGAACACTCGCACCATGAAAGGACCGTATTAGAACTGAGGTTCGTAGGAAGATATGACAAGTAACCTCTGTGGGAAGAGAATGAGGAGGACAATGTAACACATAGAGATGGATGAAGATGAGGATGTAATCATTCCCATAGTGCAGTTCAGTCACATGCTCATAGCTCACACAATGGTCACCCTGTCAAGTGATCAGTTGGCTTTCATTCTCAGCTCCCTTGGGAGAATACATAAAATCTGATCTCACCAACAATGATAAATAATAACCAAATCCTCAAAGGCATATTCCTTCTACCCTCATGGCAACTAACTTGTTTGCCAGTTTATGAGACTGTGGATGTTTTGTTTGACAAAGGTTGGTGAGTTGTGAAACAAATCCTTTTGATGAAGACAAAATTTCTCAGTAGCTGTGCTGTGTGATGTTGTAGCATGGTTGTTGAAACACCCTGGCAAGAATACAGTCAAACTTACTTGCCCAGCATCCATTATAGGCCGTACTTGTCAAGACCTGTGTAAACACAAATGTTAGATTACCTGTAGTTGGCCTTCAGTGTCATTTAGGTGAAGTCTTGTTTGGCTTGGAGTTTACAGTAACCTGTCCGATTTCAATAAAATGTGCCCATTTTGAACCAAATGACAAGTTGGGATATTAAACTTGCTGTGAATGGCGTAGTTGATGGTCATGTTTGGAATCATTGAGAAGCCATCTTGGGATTTATAGATTTAACAGGTTCCCACGTTTTTTACGTCAGGTGAAATGGGTTGAACATTGTGCTTGTCAGTCACATAGCTGTGTGCATCTGTTTATCTGTCTGTCCATAGCCAAGACACCATGATTCAATCTAAATATTGTTGCCTACAGCTAAAATACACTGGCACATCAAATGATAAAAAATCTACCATAAAATTGTTTCAAAGGTTTCTTGAGGCCTTGAATTTGAAAACTTTGATCCAGCAATCTCTGAGCTAGAGTCATATGACAATCTTTGAAATTTTGATGAAAAGAGCATGCTCGGTTGTGCCTCATAATTTCATAAATGTAAGACTGGAACTTTTGGAATATTGCTTGACATGAAAGGAAAGTTGACTATTGGAATTTTGAAATTATCCCTTTATTCCTTTTAGGTGTCCATGGGGTGACCTCCTACTTGTCTAAAAGTGTTTTACCCCAACATTTCACAAAGATGTTATGAGTAAGGATGCTACCATTTCACATTTTCTTTTCTCAGTTAGCTTCAACAACATTTGCTTTCATTTTTGACAAAGTGTCCTGAACCTCTGATGATAGATTCATAGATCTATGTTCTCCATGTTTATTGACAAATGCCCCATAGATCAAGGAATAAAGTTTTCCCTTAAGTTTGTCATATGGGATATTTGTGTACAACATCAAAAAATTATTTGTTTTTGGACAGAACTGAACTCCATTTCTGAGATTGCAAGATATTGGAAGTGATATAAACCACTTAATTTTTTTTACAAAGGGGGTGGGGTAGCCTAGTGGTTAAAGCATTTGCTCATCACACTGAAAATCCAGGTTCAATTCCCCTTATGGGTACAATGTGTGAAGCCCATTTCTGGTGTATCTAAACTCACTCACTCACTCACTCAAATGTGAGACTCAGTCTTGTGTATCATGGGAAGATGAAAATATTCCAATCAAAGCAGACAAATATAACCAATGCACCATATATGGAAGTCCTGTTTTGTTCTAATGAATATTTAACCTTTCATGGCAGCCATTTTGACAGGTCCCGTCTAATATGTGAGTGACCTTTCACGGACAGAATCCACACGAGGGATCTCAAATCCAAATTCTTCTCCCATTGCATGATTTTCTCCCCCTAAACTATCCAGCCATGAGTTATTTACGCAAGATGGGACTGATGCTTAAGTGCATGCAGAAACTGTGGCGATAAAGATCATTGTCCCATATTCATAGTAATGGTATTCTATATTTAAACATTAATTATTATTCGTCTTATTTTCAAATATAAATGTTGACTAGGCAGTGATCTCATTTAAAAAGAAGAACCTTTATGATCAAATAACCAGATCAATGGACAGGATCAATTTTTTATGAAAAGCTTTCCATTACCTAGTGTCACTATATTTTTACACAACCATTTAATGTTCACATGGCACCGATAACTTGTCTCGTAAACTATCATTGATTAAATAGTATGCATGTCCAGTATGGCGCATTTCCATGACCCTTGTTTTCTTCATCCGTCTAAGCACTGTGAATGCTTCCGCATTTAATGGCAACCATTTTTTGGTAAATCTTGCATTCATCCGCCATTAGGTTCAGATTTGGGTTTTATCTTCTTTAAAGCGCC